TGAGTTGGAGCACTCCATCCTTCTTCCACCGAACTCCAAGCATCTTCATCAATCCCTTTGATGAGATTCATTGCCTTAACTTTCCAGAAACTGTAATTCTCCGAATCAAGAATCGTGGACGTCCCAAGAGCGTGAAACCCTTTAATCGAGTCCATGTTGTGTCTTCCACACTTGCACCGATATGAGAGGACAAGTTCCTACGATCGGTGACAAACTCTGATACCAATTGAAAAAGTTTGGACCCTCAAAGAGTAAAACGGAAAAACTAACCAGTTCTATTCACTTGAGAAAAAGTCATGTACAACTCACTTTTTGTTAGAGCTACTCAACACCCAGATGAAACTCCCCCTGAGTTTCAACCCACTCTCACAATGAATTCTACCGATTAAAAACCTTACCAAACATAAGCGCTCACCAAAGGAACGAATGTGACACCCGTAACCCGTGTACAGTATACGGGCTGTGCCACATGGACGATATAACGTAATTTAAATAAATAAAAATAATAATAGAGTGATAAAATGCAGAAGCAAATTTTTCCGGAAATACAAAAACATTTTTGATCAAACAGAGTAGCAGCGGAAAATACAAGCGATTAGTATCGCAATAAGTCCCATGTCCGAATATTCATACTACAACCGTACAAAAGTCGAAACGATAAGTCCTTTGATTCAAAATACAAATCCCGTACGTGATGCTGCTTCTCTCGGTTCGTCGTCTGCTGAGGCGCTAGGCGTAATCCTCGTGATCTGAAAAAAAATGTAAACCACGAGGGCTAAGCACAACTGCTTAGTGAGTAGCCCGGGTTGAACCCGGGAATCCCGTTCTCAATGAGAACGGTACAATCGATATTTCCAAATACACATGCAACGAATATATCAACACAATGATCACAACAATAGCAAACACAAACACGCCCGTATGGAATCCACCATAAGGCTTAGCCATATACCCTGGTCAAGTCCATGACCAGGAGCGAATCCACGCCCGTCACCCGCGTGACGTTGGCCATCGCATCACATGCGATCGTGCGCGTCTCCTGCGCCCGTCACTCTCGTGACTACCGATGTCGAGTCCACGACACAACGGAAATACAATCATATCCCTGTGGAGTCCACCACAGGGT